TAACAAATTGAACATGCTAGCATTGTTTAAGTATACAGCCTATACATCCTTAATTAGATGCCTCGCACGCGTTTCGATCTTACGATCTCTCAAATTAAAAAGAAACTTGGGACAATATAATACAACGAAGCAGCAAAGAAATATTTGAGAGCCAAAATCAAATTTCAATATAGGGGATGCGTCAATAAGAATTAATAAAAGTAAATAATGATAATTGATTTTATGACACAGCTTCGAGAGGATAAACTTTTATTAAAATGTAAAAGCTTCGATAGAAAATTTATATTAAACACCTTTTAATACAATTTCATACTGATTATAATTGAAAGCAATTTATTAAAATCCTGAACGCTTTGTCCGGAGCTTCGCGGAGTCATTAAACAAAATTAATTGTACACTTTGTCCTGGACGCGTGACAAATAAATTGAGAGTGAAATGGTTGGTAAACGAGGCATCCTACCTTGTTGACGATCTTCAATTCCTTGAATAACGGTGCCACCTTTGCCAGGCAGATTAAACCCTCTTTGATTAATAACTATCAAATTGTTTTATTACGATAAACGAACGACCTCGGGATGCTACGGTATCGTCAACTGAAATTTGCAAACTTTCGAACCGAGTTTAGGAACTCGCGTGCAGCTTTTAATGAGATTGCGTAAAGTGGAAGCGATTAAAACGCAGCTGCTTGTTACCGTAATAGTCGCGTTAGGAACGTGGTTTAAAAATTGATAACACGACAGACCCTCTAATTACAATCGATTACGAAACACTTTCACACTAAAAAAAAAATTGGCTAAACACAATAATCTGCTCCCTATCAGTTTTATGATACTTTCTAAGTTAGTTAAATCTTGAACATCAAATCTGAACGGATCCCTGGAATTATTGTTAATGAAAATGTAGAATAATCGTTTACTTCCTGTAAGAAAAACAATTTCTTGTCTCTTAAACAATACAATTTTTGTTTTCTATTGCAAATGCATGGTTTGAATCGCGAAGTAGTAAAATCTTGATTATCTCGGGATGCTCCCTAAAATTTGTTACCAGTGTACTCATTTTATTCCTGCAGGCGAACAACAATTTTCAATGTCCATTACCAGAACTATTATTATTGTTTTTTCCATCGTAAAATTTTCGAGAGCAGAAAACTTGTTCTGTGTCCCATTATAACTTTTCTGTAGTACATTACGAGTAATATTCGTAATGCGACGTTGTCCGATGGGAACGGGCAGCGTATTTGTTTTTTGTTATATCGAAAAGCATCGCGAGAAAGCGACGGCGGTCTTTGTAAGGTCGTAAACGTCGCAAAAGCACATTCGTTGATTAATTACACTGATTTTCTCTTCGCGGTGACTGACGCGGGGTTTGCATAATCGTGTGGTCGACAGCTGGTCGTCTCCTCCGGCAAGAACGAACGAGCCCGGCGAAGAAACTCTCGATACACATTTGCTCTTGGCTCTATCTATTTGACCGAATAAAATTTGACGGAAAATCTTTGCAACACGGGCGAGCAAACAGTATGTAACGAGCAATAGCCCGGGGCGTTTGTTTTCGGTGAAGAAGTGAAATGCTTCCGTGTCGGAGATTTCGAAATGGTTCCTCTTGACGAGAGAAATCGATTCGTTCACATCTGAACCTTTCAAAATTCGTTACTTCATATATTAACTTCCCGCGAACGTAATTGCTGTCTTTGATCCATTTATTATATTACGAAATCTAACAAGAATTTTCTTGGAACATCATTTATCCATACGCATATTACTTAGGCGCTTTTATGTAATACGTCCAAAAATAATTACGATCTTCGATGCTCTGGCTAAGAGCGTAATTATTTTTCCACCGATCTGTTAAATGTATGCAAGCTTCATCTTCTTCGTAATTGATTTTATAATAGACTAATTTTTTCTCGTAAATTTAAGACATGAATATTTTTCCATAAATGCGTAAAGAACTGCAGTCTGATACTCAGTATGCATCTAATTTTGATAGCCGTGTTCTGCTCATTTACCAACGTTCGATTTATTAACATTTATCTATCGAGAAGGAAAGCATAATGCTCTCCCTGAAATAAGAACACGAAACGTGATTGATGTTAACTGAAGTAATTGCTAATAGGATTTGACCGGTGAAATGATGAATCAGCGCGTGACCAGCGTGAAAGATTTGCGTGGAATTTAATGTCGCGAGCATAGCTACGCAGCGTGCTACACAAATCGCTGGAATATCCGTGCCGTTATTGCAAAAGTTCTCGCGTGGTTGCGTTACGCGATCGATGCAACCGTGCATCGGGGTCCCACTGCGGTTTAATAAAGAATCATCAACGTATTGAACTGCGGTGACCATTCGGAGAAAAGAGACAAATTAGAAATCGTTTCGTAATAAAAATAAAACAGAAGCTCAGTGAAATTTAAATAGAGAACACGTACATGATATTTAGTATAGAATATAATAATTGCTTTTTAGTTAAACATGTACGGTATCGAATTAGAAATGGTAATTTAAATAGAAATTCTTTTCGTTATGTAAATATCGGCTTTTGATGTTTCAAATTTTTCCATACATGAAATCTGCATGTATAAATGCGAATTCATGAAACGTATGCGATCTCACCTCTGCGATCCACGAAGTGGCCATTTAAAACCAACGAAGGATCGATTACAAGATAATACGAAGATCAAACAAAGTGCTGATATTTCAATTCACAAAATGCATATGGCATATGGTCATAGAAATAGTCTGAAGGACGAAGCAATGGAACGAGACGTTTAAAAATATATGCATACGTATGCATTATGCATATGCATGATTACCATAGACAAATGCAATACCACCGATACTACTAAAGAACGACAGTGCTCGTGTAATCGTTGGGACAGCGAATGGGACCCAATGGGGCTGAGAACACAGTCGGTGATCGCTCTTTTCGGTGGAGTTAGAAGGAAATTGCATGGTTCTTGTATCTGGCAACTGTTCGAGTGTTTTACATTCTACTTCTTATTTCAGTGGCAATATATTTTAAAGGACGTAAAAAATTGCCGACTTTTCCATGCGAGACAAAGTCCCATGAGGCTGCCACTCTTTAGTAATCTCTCCTCGGGTGGCAATACCTTTTCGTCGCGTGGTAATTTACAGAACTAATGGATCGTTGGTGAAAAAAATAAAATCGAATCGACTCGAGTCTGTGTTTTGTCACGAACAAAAGCGATCGCACTTCTGCCAAGATCGTATTCCGAAACGGTCTTAAGCGACGTACGACCAAGTGTCGTCGGTTAGAGCAACGATACGTCGTCGATCGGCTTTCGATACGAGGATGCCGCGCAATTTGTTGGAGGTCGACAGACGGAAGAGCCAATTCGATAAGGAGGAACGAGTTCATCTGTTGGCTATAATGAAGCGGTACGCGCCGCTGTTGGACAGCAGCGCTTCCACGCTGGCTCGCAAGAACATCTGGACGACCATTGAGAACGAGTTTAAAAAGGCTGGCTTCACGCAGAAGACCTCTGCTCAGCTTAAGAAATATTGGCAGAATTACAAATATCATTGCAAGAAGGCCACCGCGCACGGGAAGGTATTGCTAGTTCCACTCTCGTTCATCAGTCTTAGGACACGTCGCAGGACGTATTGTTACGTGAAACATTGTTGGAATATATTTAAAACAAATTGATTGTGTGATATTTTAGTGAGTAGATATATTGATGGCAAATTTTAATTATTAAGTATGTGAAATGGTCCTTTGATAACAATTATTGAACTGTGGATTTTTATATTAGATGAGACATTTAGAAAATGCAATTTATGTAAAAACAGTATTAGAGATTTCAAATAGCAAATGCAAATTGTTAAATGGAAGTTAATTTGAAGTATGAGTTCATTGAAGTTCATGATCTATCATTTGATTATATTATCTCTTGTACGATTGTATAATTTCTTATATGATGTATGAAATACTTAAAAATGTCCTGAGACTTATAAACGGGTTCGTACGTATTTGCATTTAAATCAAAGATTGAGAGCAACACGCGTTGTAGGAAAATAAAAGGTACATAGATTCGATGGTGAGCGAGTCGCTCGAATGGAATCGTTATCCGATTTTGGTCGAGAAGGGATCCGTGAGCAAGTTTTCGGAAATTCCTGGGCTCCTTCGACCCTTGACCGACCATCCTCCAACGGAATCGGGTTACCAACTTACCGAATCGTACCGGGATAACGGAGCATCTCAGAAATCGAATAATTCGGATGTTATCGCTGGTACATACTCCTTTATCAGTCTTGGATTTAACGTATTGCAGACCGTGACCCAAGTATTATGTAAAATCTTATTCGAGTCTCAGTTTCTCTATTCATATTAGAATTGTATAAAACGAAACATAAGAATTGAAGTAAAATTAGACTTTCTTTAAATCACATGAATATCAATAAACTACTAAAAGCCTCTTCAAATTCCGTCGGTCTCAAATATGTTAATCTTGGATTTGATTGCGCAATTAGCAATTCGAAAATGTTTTAAGAATTGCCGCGAATCAAAATGGAAAAAGAAGACGAAATAATGTCTGATGATCACAAGACAGAGAATTCAAATGTTTCGGAGAATGAAAATATCGAGGAGGACACGGAAGAAACGAAGGAGAATCTTTCTAACGAAGACCATCTCGTATCCTCATCGACCAACGAGTCTGATATTAAATCGAAGAATCGTATCGTCGTGTCAAACGCGAAAATTTCAAATAACAGCGTTACTGTTTCTGTTATTTACCCTGAGAATAGGCAATTACCAAGAGACGAGCTCGACGCTCCCTCGGTGCCTACGAGGAGACTTGGTAAAGGATAATTAATTAGGTTTAATTAACAGACTGCGGATTTTTATGCATGAATAAATTCCTATTCATTATATCACCTTTACGACACCCAAATTGCTATAGATACTTTATGTATGTTTCATTATTCTTGCATATTTAATCAAATCCGCAGTCTGCTAATTAATAATATCGTTCGGGCTAAACGCGTGTACCTTTTAGTAGATGCGTGTCCAAATACTTTGGGAAATCAACCGACGCCTTTTGAATATCCCCCAAACACCAGTCAAATAAACCTTAACGAAATTAGTAAGTTATAAACAAGTACACTGCAACTCCTATATCTTTATAAAAGAATCGTATAAATGTTACAAATATCCTTGTAAAGGATCAAACGAATTCCTATTTGAATTCAAATAATCGGTGTATAAAAATACACAAGTTACGGAATTTACTCCGGTATCTTAAATTTATAGATTATGAGAGGTACAAATCGTTTGAACGTACTGGGAGCATTGATTTACCGCGAGAAAAAGAAATCGAGGAATTCTTGGTGGAAGAGCAGAACGAAAAAGACGAGGCAAAAGGTATAGATACGCGAAACGATCGGTTCGATCCCCGCGGCTACGTTTTCTTGACGGATTACCATAACCGACTGAAGCACAGGTTGATTCTGCAGCAGCTAGAAGTAGGTTGAGATTGAGCAGTGTTAATTGTAAGAAACGTCGAGCAATAGATAGACTGCGGGTTTCAGTGAAAAATAAAGTAGTCACAATATCGGTTTAAGAATGTGTTTTAAAGTTGGATAATATATTTTTATGGTAGAACACGTTCTTGACTTTTTCTCTGCAAATGAAATTCGTTTATAGAATCCGCAGTCTGGTAATAAGCGCGGGCTAATTTCCTCCGTTGTAGACCGAGGAGAAACGATTGAAAGTGAAAATTGCGGAGCTGGCGGTACAAGAGGCGCAGTTGAGAATAAAAGCTTTGCACGAGGACATGCGGCGTACGGAAGAGTTGCATCAGGTGCGTCTGGTCCAGACTGCAGGGAACGTAAACAATTTCAGCTTCTAACTTGTTCCATAAGTCGTGTGATTCGGAATTTTTATTACGAGTTTGTTGAACTTACAAGAAACGTTGGAATTATGTACGTGTTTTTATTTCGAGAAGGCGACTCGGTAGAAGTTTCGAATAGAAGCTGAAAAGATAGACAGAGGAAAGAGGTGGGTGGGTGTAGTTGTTGTGCTTCAAATTTATTTTTATTAATCACCATCATTATCGTGTGTTACGATGTCGTCGTCATTTAGAAAAAACGCATGGGACCATACAAAATAACAATGCGCTTAGATTTTCGTGGCAACCGAGCAACGCGTATAGTATATCGAGGTCGCGGTAATAATACGACTTTCCGTCATCGAACAAACCGTATTCATCGACGGGCCCATGAATGTCCCTCGACAAACTACTTACGTATACGGAACGGCAACGTTTTCATTCTGTCGCGTAACACTCTTCAATCCAGTCAGCATTGTCTGTCCGCCTCTCCTATTTCCCCGCAGAGGTGCCGAGATCTCGCAACCCCTTCCCTGCCACCCCGCAACTATCGATTTCCCTTGTATTTACTGATTGTTAATAATTATCACAGAAAGTTCGTAAAACAATGACCTTTGACATATGTTGGATCGTGTGTGGTTCGTCTTTGTTCGTGTATGTGTGCATGTCTCGTGCTCTCGTGTACGTGTTCAACCGCGTGTATTCCTGCAACCTTCTGTTCCCGTTCACAGATCTCAAGACGCTTCGAAACGTTTGATAAAACTCACTGATCAGATAATAAACCATGAATCGATTTCAATTAATTCGTGTTTCGAATAAATGTAATCAATTTTCTCTTCGAATCGTTTCATCGATTTGTCGTAATCCGCATAAACGAGAAAATCATATTAGATATAAAAGAGCGTGTAACAATTTTGTTTCAAGACCTGTGAAGGGGTGTGTGTTAGACGCGATAGAGTAAAGATTTGTGTCGCTGTAAATAGAGTAACGGTGGATTAGCGTTATAGTATAACTAGCAGTAATTAGTAGCGATTACGAGTAGCGATACAAGTAGTGGTGGCACGCATTTAGAGTAGTAGCTTGTTTAACTTTCCGTTTGCAGCGTTTAAAAATATGTTGAGTTCGCGTTATAGTAGAATAGTTTCATTTATATCAATTGTACGCATTCATTTCGATTGAACGATGTTCGGAGGAAAAGAGAGAAAGAGAGAGATTCGTGTGCGTGTCGGAAAAGAGAAGGACAGGAGAGCCGGAAGAAAGAGAGACAGAGAGAAGAAGAAGCCGATCGTTTCGCGTTTTTATCGGAATTACTTTTTCCCGACCGATGGCAGGACCTTGTAAAACTTATAAACCGTTTTGATTGTCGCGATAAAGCCCGTCCTAACAACTGGATTCTCGTATTCCCATCAGTATCGAACAGTTTCCATTCGAGAGGAACAGCATCGTCGTAAACGCGCTTGTCAGAATCGACGACTGGACCAAACTAGATATTTCGGTTCACGTTTCCCATTTACTTTCTAATAACTTTTTCCCGACGTTACGAACAAAACTGAAAATATTATATGAAACGAAAAACCGAAATGTATGATATGAAATCATGGAGGGCTTTTCATAATTATTCTTCTGTTTTCACGGACAGCAAATGATTCACAGAAGGTATTAAATAGGCACTAAATGCTCGGACCCAAATACCTCTTGTGGTCCAGTCGTTCTATCGGACACTTTTAAACCGTGTTGACATTCGAGTCTCTTATTCTCTCTTCTCTCCCTGGATAATCGTGAATTGAAAAAATGATCTATAAGAATCTTTCGAGTAGGCAAAGCCAAAAAGGACATATCAAACGCATTCCTTTATATCATTTCTATTCTCCTTTGACGTCGATTTCTTATTTCTCTTCTCTTTTGTCCTCTTACATTTCTCTCTCTCAAATCCTTTTTCCTTTTGCGCCTTGGTACTACCAGGCGAGCCAAAAAACTGTGTTGCTCGACTGAAGCTTTAACTACGAGAGGTTTTTTTTTTTTTTTGTTACACGAAAAGCAACTAGAAATCTCACTAAGCGAAAATTCTCTCCTCTGTTCGTTATAATTCTCCTTGGAAAATGTAAAAATTACTTAAAAGTCAATTCTTAAGTTCGTGATTCGCTGGTGTATACGAGTTAAATAGTTTAATCCGAATCGCTTCCTGCAACGTTCCATCCGCGATTCTTAACCAGGAAACGGATGTTTGTGCATGAAACGGTTAATTAAAATCAACAGATTTTTGTATAAAATTCAACGTTCGTGAATATTTCGTTTAAACAGATGCATTAAGCATTGGAGCGTTGAATCGATTATGCGGCCTAATCAATGAACGATTAAATTTTTAATCAAACGAAACAGGAGGTTAAGAATCACTGATATAAAAGGCGTCTGGCCAAGGCGAGCGAGAAGACGATTTTAATTCAATTGAAAGAGTGCGTTCGATTGAAAATTAGGTGAACAATAATTAAATGAGAAATTGCTAGAGCCTCGATTGATCGTCGTTTCGCGATCGACCAGCAAACAGTGGCGTCTATCTGGCGCCGGGATACGTTCGTCCGCTTAAAATTTTCTTATCAACAGCGTTAACAAAGTTTTACGATTATTGCTACTGCTCGAGCGACGAGGCAGACCACGCGCCCATGGATTTATCCATTGAAACGTTGTCTCCCATCGTGTACCCAGCGAGAACGGTTTCTCCCTCGAAATCATCGATACATTTTCGTTCGGAACAATTTCTCTCGATGAGACAATTTATAGGCTGCGAACTTGACGCATTCATAGGGAAACCGAATGTGAAAATATAAAAGTTGCAGAATATCAAAAGCGTGTCAGAGCATTTGAAATTTAAAAGGAATCAGTGTTTCATTTTGCGTAAAAATCGACGGGACGGCATTTCGAAAAATGTTTTCCCCCGTTACAACTTTTATGCAAAACAAGACATCGGAGCATCGAAATACGTTTTTGATATTCTATGTAACGTTCAATCTCGTTCCGAATGCGTGAAATTCGCAGTCCAGTTACCAGAGACAGAGCAGATCGGCTAACAATGGTTTCCGAACAGCGGGAAACAACAGCGGCGACGAAAATGCAGTCAATAATTTCGGGGGAAACCGAAAAATGACGCGACCCGTTGGGGACGTTCCGTCGCGCGTCGATTAGAACGCGAGACAGAAATGCGTTCCCTGTCGCTCGACTCTCCCCCCCTTTTTATTGAAAACCGAGCTCCCCCGTACGTGACACGCATACGGGTATCTACGTATTCTAGTTTCGTCGAAAACGTTGTAACCCGTTGTAACTCGGCCGTTGACACGGCTTCGAAAAATCGTGTGACTCGCGAGGAACAAGTGTAACGCTAGTTGTCTATCTAAAATCGTTTTAAGTTTAAATTTCTCTGCTCGTTTGCTACGAATCACAAGATAGATGAAAAGTTCAAGAACCATTTTGGTGTACGAACGACAAGGGACAGTCTATATCTCAATTTCACGTTTCTCGAGTCGCCTTTATCGGGAATTTTTACGAACACGCATTTAACGTGCACGAGATTTTTTTTAACGATATAAATACATATTAGGAAACTAGATTTTATAAGAAGCAAGGGATGTGTCTCAGGGATCACGCGAACAGTCGATTTTCTTTCGCAAACATGCGCTCGCTTGTTTATTCTTTGCACTGGCTGGCTGGCCCGCGTTACATTTACATAAGACGGCCGACACGAAAACGGCATTACGCTCTTCCCCATTTCATAGGAGGAGTTTTTTAGGTCGCGGGAGTCCATGATTTTCAATCGTCTTCGGGAACTTCCACTTATTGATACGATCAAAGTTTTTAATGGACGAATCGTCATGAAACTTCCACGCCACGAAGAATAAATAATGGGAAGTTTGCCAATTTTGGGTCGCTTGTTATTCAAAGCAAGAGTCGAACGGCTCCTTCGAGCGTGGATGATCGTTTGGTTACTGGATAAATATTTGTAGAGGAACGATGTTCTCTGCCGCTCCGGGATCACGCACAATCGGGAAAAATTCTACTCGTTGAATATACAATCCCTCGCGGAACATGAAAAGACATATTGCTTTAATGAACGAGAAGGTCAGCCGCATTATGCAAGCTTCTGCCAGAAATAAACTATTAACAATTCCTCGAAGAAATGTCCGCACGCTATGTCGTCTATTAATAGAAAAAATTCTGCGTGGATACAGGAATAGGAAAGAAAATCTAATTTCATCGTGTAGTAAATTTTATGAAATTAAAAGCACGATGGCATTGATGAACGATCATTAATATCCTTGTCTGCCCTCGTTTATTAATAGTGAAATGCCTGAACACTAGAAGAGAACTTTCTAATTTCTTTGCACTGGTAAAAAGAAAGTGACACGTCTCTTTGCTACATTTTGTGGGATTAAATGGAGGGTTGGCATTGATAAAGAAACCCTATACGAGGTAGAGTCGCAGGACGATCGTCGAGCATAAAAAATAGGACGTTAAAACTGAGAGGATGACGGCGTGCGGAGCGAAATTCCTCGAGGAATGGGTTCCGAGGTGGTGGCGCAAGATTAATCGGTGTTTCCGAAGGTTCGCTACATGAAGAACAGCCGTAATGTCGTTTAATTAACCCTTCAGTGTAGGAAAGTTCGTTCCGCTGTCGGCTAAATAAAAACCGAGAAATATCGACTAGGAAGGAGTTTAGTGTGCAGCTGTGTTCATAAGTCTTGAGACACTTCTAATTTGATAAATATTCAATCGGGAACATTAAATTTAATTAAAATCATTACGTAAGAAATTATGAATAATCAAATTAAATCAGGCTTCGACCAAATGTGAATTGACTCGATGGTCTCGCAATGTTTTATATCTTGAGACTCATTAACGTGGGTGCACGTAACATCGAATAGAAAGTTGAAGAGAATCGAGTTTAAAAGGGATACCGAGATAAATGGAGGTATGGTTTCCCTTCTCGAAATGCCCATCTGTTACCCGTGGTAAATGGTTGAAACTTTCATGGACTTTCGTCTGCGAATCGAAACTCGACTCAGGCGTAACTCCATCGACTGATTTTTTAAACAGGTGCCAAGTCTCGAACCTATTTGAATTCGTAATACTAGGGAAGGCTCGCTTGGTGCCTACGCAAGCTCCATGGGAATTATTAAATCTAGTGTTTACGAAGGCAAAGGAACAATTTTTTCTTCCGCATGCAAAAGTCATTTAGACTGCAGACTTGTATGCAAAAGAGAATATTGACTAGAAACTGTCTTCTATTCGTTTAAGCATTGCAATTTTTCATATTTATTATTTTCTTATTATTCAAGCATTGCCTCTCATATTTAGGTATATTTTTATACGTTGCATGCGTTGTTATTCTCTTACGAGGGCATAAAATTCGCAGTCTGTTTATCACAACCACGGGGATACAAAAGTGCGAAGAAGGCTGGATAATTGGGGATTGTCTCGTTCGGCGATTCGCGAGGATGCTCGTAGCACTCGGCCATACGCTATCTGCGAAGAAGTTCACCGTATTATACGTATTCGTTCGACCACGTCTGAGAAAAAAGTTGGGTACGGGTCGATGAGAGAACGCTTGCCCTTTCCACTTCCCTTTTACTTTAATCACTTCCTTGACTTCTTTCGCCAGCAGTTTCTCCTCGGCGTACGACACCCATCCAGGCGGCACCCTCGTGGAAACTTACCACTTACATGATATTTACGATTTAATCAACTTCCCATCCCACGTTCGAACTTCTGTTCCATTCGATGATTAACGAAAGAAGTTCGTCGGGAAATTTCACTCCGGATTAAATTCGAGTGAAACAGCCACGTTGAAACAATTATTTGTACCGCCGACGCTTGCCGCCCTTGGAACGCACGCGAGCCTGCCAACTTTTACGATAAAGTTCCTTATCGCGGTTTTAAAGCGTGTGTAAAGTTTCGGAAGATCGATAAACAAATTACGTTTGTAGGTTATTCATTCCGATATTCGAATCTTAAACGAGATTGGATAACGCATCCCTGTTTACGAATCTTAGGACAGTTCGAGGTATTTGATAAATGTTATATATTAGTAATTGTATAGAACGTCGATTAAACGATTGAACAATTTTACTAAAATCATGTTTGGAACTTTTGTATCTGAATGTTACGTATATTTCTGGAAATATATTCCTACGACGTCTCATTGAATAACAGTCAAAAGTCCTAAGATTTATGAACTTGATACAACTGTCCTTAGAATCTGTTCGATTCCCATGTCGTTCGTACAGAGAGTACAAAGATCCTAGAAAAATCGACGATCAAGCCTAGCTACAGCTCGAACCCTACGGTTTCTATCGTACAATGTTTCTCAACGATTCGTGCAAAGATAAAGAAACTGTCTCGAAAGAGAAATAGAGAGAAAGAGAAAGGGTAAAACGTCGCCGCGTCGATTGATATTTATGCGTGTACCTACGTATGCGTGTACGCCGGGCCGGCACTGATTATCGGGATCGGTGCCCGAGGAATCGTTTATCTCCTCGAGGACCGGACGGCGATCGGATGGTCGTCCGGTCTCGACGGGGTCAGCCACTACTCGCCTCCCAACGACAGCGCTTGCACGATCCTCGGATCGGCCTTGCTACCCTCACGGAACTCCTCGAGGGTGAGCTTGTCGTCGTGGTTCTTGTCCATCTGATCGAATATCTTGTCCACCCTCTTCTGCGGCGTGTTCTCGTCCTCCGCCTGTGGCTGTTGTCCCTGGAACATCAAACGATCGTCCTATCAGGTTCCGGGCTGTGTTAACATCCACCCTCGTTCACAAATGTTTGCCACTTTCAAGTTTTCAATAAAATACTGGCATTCCTCGTCGCGGCTTCGCACGCACTAATTCATCGTTTATAGAACAGAAATATCTATTTAAAAACGTATTTCATAAACAAGAGCCAAGTCGCTAGCTCATGGAACTACACGTGGATACATGCTTAAATATCTAATTCGTTGTTCGCGTTTTCATCTGTAAAATAATTTGGAAACGGTATTAAACCGTAAAGGTGCTATTATTATAGTAAGATAGAATCGCGTTTTCGTGTCGGTCGGGATTTCAGGGGATAGATGAATTTAGAACCGGCCAACGACTTCGCCTCTTGTCGTACGTCGTTATCGTCTATCTTTCCCTCTGACTTTTTTTCCACCGAGTTTATCGCCGGCATAATATATCCGTGTCGATTTGGAACCTTGATATTTCCCGAGAAAATCACGAGTAAAACGCATTAGAGGAAAAAGGATCGATTGATTCCATTCTTCCTGATATTAATGATCCTGCCTTTAAAATCTTCCCAGGAAACTTTTAATACGGAGGTATACCAGCATCTTGCAAAATTCTCTATCACAGATTTGTTCGTATATTCTTACATTTTAATAGTTGCTGTATTTTATTTTTTATTACTGTCACGTTTGTTAAAATAATAAAAAATCGTGTATGAACAAATTTATGAATCAGTATATTTATTACACAAAACAAATCTACGGAGATGAATCTTGTCATCAGATTTGATCCATTGCAAAATGAATGTATAAGAATTGACTATTCATTCAATTGATAAAACCGAAAAAATTCATCGTGTCCACTTTGATTCATACTTCTAGACTTCAGAGGTTCCAATGTTAGGTAGATTTATTTGTGTTACTGGCTACTGGTATTGTAAACATTTATCGGATTTGCCGGGTCAACGTTTATTCCAGCAGTATAAGTGATTGGATTAAAATGTCCCTTTTTCGTTCGGTGTTCCAGGTTTAACGCGGCTTTACTCCCCGACCTCTGGAAGCCCACGGAATGGAAATTACCGGGAGGACTAATTTTTCGCCAAGGTTTGTAACTCACGACTTTTCGTATCGTTGTTTTCTATCTAATATCGTGTGGGCGAGCGTACGACCCAGTTTTCGACAATGTTGCACCATGATGCGTGCGCACGGCATCGATTTTCGTTAACAATTCCAACGCGAATTTATCGTACTCCATACTTGGAATCTACACCCGTGATTCAGCAAATCAATTTTGTATTCTTCCTGCAGATTGGTCGAATTAAAACCAGAATAGACTGTTGATTTTGTCCATTCAGAGAAAAATATAAGAGATGCATTTACGTATTATTTGATATCTGAGTATGTACAGATTATCAAAAGCGAATATCTTTCATGTTCCACGAATATTTCTATTCTATAAATTGTAAATAGACAATTAGTGCGCGTGAGGTCGCGATGGGCCATGCTAGCTTTCTATAAAATTGATAAGCGACATACTAGAATTTCTTAGTTGGTTGCTTCTATCCAAGTGGCAGTAAATAGTGTACTCGCGGCTCACCGCGACTAATCATTTATTAACGGCAACTGGCTTTCGGTCGAGAGCGTTTAATGATGAAGCTTCGTCGTTAACGCGATAGACGCGAGAGCTCGGTACGATTTTCGTTAAAAATGAACGGGACGCCGGGCACGATGTTAGTAGACGGAAACTGCATGCAATTTAGAGATAGGATCGTGGCAAAGGGACGCGGTAATGGCCACCTATAAACTCGATAACACTGATAAGAAATATAATACCGTTTAAAGCACATGCTTCCTATCCTCCGAGCAAACATTTCTATTATCGGATAACGATTAAGGGTCACCAACAGCTTTCTCTTTTAATCTATTATTCAGTGCATCAACCTTTTACATGATTACGATGGTAAACTATGTAAAATAGAACATTTATTTTCATGTCCATTTAAAAAATGAGAACTTTCTTTTACATTTTTAATAGATATTCGTGCGCTTAACATTTTATCAATGCAAATCTGTGCTCCAATTACGAGTGATTGGATTTGCTGATTAAACCATACTTCAAACGAAACGATTAATAATTTACATATTTTACAAATTTGTTTTAAAATAATCCTGTTATTGACAAACTCTAATTCAGAATTTTCCATGTCAGAATTAAAAGTTCCAATAAACGTCAAGCCGGGTAAACATTTCGTTCGCGATTTTGACTACATTATCAGGGATGGAGGCGTTGTAAATAAAATTTTGATCCGCCAATCGGAATTATGATGGAATATGAGATCGGATTAACTTATCGGATCGCCATGAATTTCATTTATCCACGCGTTTCCATTTTCGAGGTATTCGATGTGCGTTCGTCACGACAGACCCGGGGGATAATTATCCCCGGGGTCTATGATCGACGACTTCGCCCGTCGCTCGGGACTTCCGTAATTTCTGGCTCGCAGTCGGAATTTTCCTGGCTTACCGCGTTATTGATAGGTAGATTGCGAATGCGGCGTTCAGAGAAAAACTGAGTCCACAGAAAACATTACTTCGTGCAACGGAATATCGAAGGTCTGAAACGGATTTACTTAAATAGTTTTTAAGCGATTAGTTCAGTTTACTTCTATTATTGAAAACCCAATTAAATTCTGGAACAAGAAATGGAATTATACTGTAACCGTATATAAAAAGTAGAAAACGTATTGGTTTGTTCAGATGACAAAATGGAATTTAAAGCACGGTTTTTAAATTGATCAATTAACTTTTATTGCTAAAAAACCGAATTAACCTTTAGCGCGTGTCATTATAAATAACGAATGAGGAGCCATTATTATATCCGATGCATAAAAATCCAATTGAGGAAAGATCGATGAAATTGCAATAATTGCTGGTATCTTACTCACTTGCGTTAACCGTTCTCTACAGGTTTAATTACACGCGATAATTGAATGCTCGTTACATTTTTCTGGTCTGTCTGATAAAATTAACTATGTTGGCGAGGTTCGAGCGAAACGGGAGAGTTTGCAATTTTCCGTTGGGTTAAAAGCAAAATGCGCTTACCACCATCTCGTACATCGCGTCGACGATATTGTACATCTCCTCCCTCGTGATGAAACCATCGTTATCCACGTCGTACAGACGAAATGCCCCTGAAAACAAACGATGAACAGATGATAGAGATAGACGATCCCCTCGAAATCGAAAAACCAGCAAAATATTTCCTATCTCTTTCCAAATCTTATAAAAAGTCCGCGTGCAATAAAGCAATAAAAACTCCGTCTTTTCTATAAGAATAATTTAGCACATCGTTAATAATAATTTAAAATCAAGTCTTCTTTCTTTCTTGATCTCACTGATTTTTACGGTATTTCTTTCTCCTAACTTTGATCAAATTCAACATTGGAAAGGTTTCTTTAACACGGTTTTCGAAAATAAAATCAGTAAGCGAGTGTTCTGCCGGTTTTTCCTCGACTCATGAAAAACAGAGGCGAGTTTCACTCACAGTGAAGTTTCTCGTCCAAGTTTCCGCGTGACGTAACCGAGAGCGCCCTTATAAACTCCTCGAATTCTATCGTGCCGTCCTGGAAAAACAGTCGTTCTGTGTTCCCGCGGGAAAATCCAGTTTCGGAAAGCCGAACGAAATTAAATAGGAATGGGGAAACATCGGCGTATGCGGCTAACGGGAAAATATTAAAAACAGGATCCTCTGGGAATATAAAACAGGGTATCGTGGATTTTCAAACAGACTTGAGTACGACTACTGTTGAATAATTTTATTTCCTGAGAAACCGCATGCAGGTCGTGATTGTAAAAATACTGCGATAAACGTGAGTAAATATTGAGTCAATTAATAACATGGAATTCATCACAAATAGAATTTATTTAGTGATGCACCTCCTCTGTGCGTTTGAAAATTTCACTGGACTACGGGATAACAGAATCAGATTAAACAAGACGAAGGACACAAGCATCAATGAATAATAATAAGTTGGAGAGAACGATGGTACAAAAGTGAACGGATGGGACTTACGCTGTTCTCGTCGAACACCCTGAAAACAAGGGTGGCGAATTTCGACGGATCGCCCTGGGGAAAGAACTGTTTGTAGATCTTTATGAAACCCTGAAATCACGCAACAGGCACTCTTATCTTTACCGAACTTGGTTCCGTGCGATATCGATTTTCGTTTAATTAACGTGTGCCAGCCAGGGTGAGAGAAAACGAGGTCATACCTGTTCCGTCAGCAAACCGTCCGGGCAGTCTTTCAGGAATCCTTTGTGCCTAAACAAACAGTCGCAAAATTTATCGAATCTACATTCCCTCCGCGTAATTTGCTTCCCCCGATCTAATACTAGAATCATTGGAAATTCAATGAAATAACAGAGTGGACCGATAAGCTGAGATCGACTCGAATGCACGGTCACGCGAGCACGTGCAAATTGTTTTTGATCGAAACATAATTCAGAGTCTAATCGTCTGAACCCATCAGGACCCGGGTAACGAAAGTACAGATGTTTTATAATACCGATGCACTAAAAGAAATTAAAAATTGGTTCAATCGAATCGAGAGGATTTTAAATTATCATTTTCTTTTATCGATATCGATTCTTAGTAATCGAAGGAACCAGGCTTTCTGATCCTTGATTGCGACTCACCATTGTCGGATCTCCTTCTCGGTAACTGAAACAGAAACGAGAGCGAAAACGGTTTTAATCGGGTGCCGGATGTAACGAGGGGAAGGTTGAAAGTGGTTGGCAAACAGAAACGGGGGAAACGCTAACGAGGAGCCGGAGGAAAATTGCAAGAAGATGTATCTCACAATTCGCGTTATCTACCTTCAAAATCTATAATCCTTTTTAATGAACAATCGAAATTGATCGACGGTCAATCTCGCTTAATCTCTTTTCGAAGTGTCCGCCACTCGGTTAGAAAAGTGGCCGCAATGCAGGCAGGCCATCCGTTCGAGTCGATCCGAAAAAATCAGATTGCAAAATGAGCAAGAAAATCGGTCGCTTCTTTCTTTTTTTTTACACACACATCAATTTTTTATAGTATACGTACCCTGTTCATAAATCTAAAAATTTAGAACAGAACGAGACGTATAAATGAATAAATTAAAATTTGTACGTCTCAATAAATAATTGAAGGATTTCACGTATACAATTTTTTTTGAAACATTTGTTAAATTTTATTCATCATTCTAATCTGTTATGACTCTTTACATACGTGTACTTATGCTGAGGCATGAATTATTCGTTTGGTTGCGTTCCATAAAAGTCGAAGCAAAGGGGGACACCCACCACGTGGCTGAAATCATCGTTAGTAGTTTTTGCACCGCCCACGACTCTAGCTTTCTTGCCTCTACTCACTGACACTCGCCCCCGCCCCTCCCGGGTGACGTCAGCTTGTCGTTTCGTCTTTTCCGCAGGCATAATCCCCTCTTCATTTAATGTCACGGTATTCGCTTTTCACAGCTTCTCTCCACTAGATCACAGCTTATCATTTCCTCTTTGAATACCTGACGCCATATTTTAGTCACCAACTCTCATCCCCTTTCGTCGCGTTTCGTCGGTGCGTTTATAAAGGCAATTAAGGAAAATTATGGGTTTCGCGTCATTAAATGTTAATCCACAATTTGCATTTACATTTATCACAGTCATATCGTATCTTTTATATTCAGTATTATAACGCGAGTATTTTATACTTCATTGGTTTGGTTTTTAGATAAATCTGTCCACTTGTCATTGAAATAAGACTTGAGGGGTACGATCCTCTCCTTTGAAGGACAAGTGAAATCTTCTCTTGAACCCCTTGATCTTTTCTATCTACTCTCTAAGTTACCAGAATTGAAAATCGATTCGAGGGTGAGAATTTTTCTGTTTATTGTATCGTTTCGTGAATCTGCTTGGAATCGTTCGAGCCGATCCCTCGACTAGATGAAAATGAAAAGTAGACGGTCAAACATTTACACTGGCCGCCGTCGCTCGCGATTTGGTGGGTCGTTGGACCGTAAAACAAGTTCCTTTTTACGGGCTGAATCAACCTGGAATAGTTGTCGCAAGATAAAGAAACGTTCTCGAGAATCTGTGTGATAAATGTTGGCTCGCAATTCTTTGAAACGCCCGTCACTTTTACAGTGTTAGTCTTTCCAGTGTGAAATCTGATTCATTTAGTAGTACATAAGAAATTTACATAGAGAATTTTAATATCTAATTAATATTTGTTCTCTGTTTTCGTCTTTTAAATATTCTTACATCATTTCACTGCATCAATCACAAACTCTCTATGAGGAGTACTATTTTATTTTTAGAAAATGACGAACACAGTGTACTACATTAGATCATGCTCCGTAGATTAAAAATAGTACGCGAATGAACGAGATGGAATTAAACGCATCCAAGGGTAACGAGATCTGACCGAAAACGTAATTGCGTGCTCTAGCCTCGAAGACTATGCACAAATATATCTATTATAAAACCCGGGCACCGAGGCGACGTTCCAGAAACATTACTCATGCGCGATTTGTCAAAAGGGAGAACTGAAATAGTGCGCGAAGAAGGAGCCGACGACTTGGCCAGTTTCAAGCCTTAACTCTGCCGATTTTTTTAAAGCGGAGCTTCGGAAACGGGCTTAGAAATTTTTCAACGTCGCTCGCGAAAATTTAAACGGTCCTCGGTGCCATCGATCATCGTCCCAACGCGATACGAGCTTCCCAGGAAAGCCTGTCGCGTAAGCGATAACAGCTACCCGCGAATCTAGAACGCGGTTATTTTGTTTTTGCCTGGGTCCGTTCATGCGGATCTGCTCAGACGAGTTTTTGCTAGCCTTAACTCTGCCGATTTTTTTAAAGCGGAGCTTCGGAAACGGGCTTAGAAATTTTTCAACGTCGCTCGCGAAAATTTAAACGGTCCTCGGTGCCATCGATCATCGTCCCAACGCGATACGAGCTTCCCAGGAAAGCCTGTCGCGTAAGCGATAACAGCTACCCGCGAATCTAGAACGCGGTTATTTTGTTTTTGCCTGGGTCCGTTCATGCGGATCTGCTCAGACGAGTTTTTGCCAATTGGAGACAAGAAGAATTATTACATAAAATAATTAATGGCTTAATAATAATTTCATCGAACCGTGCTTAGTTTCGTTATGACAAATTGAAATGTATTCCCGTCGGAGTATGAAATCAATGAACAATGTGAACAATTTAAAATGATATTTTTTATTGGGTTCCCCAGTAGAATAAAGTCGGGACGATTTAGTTCAATGGGGACGATTCTTCCAATGAAGCAAGTAAATAAATGAATGTCCAATAGGGAAGAGGAGCAATCCGATAGAGTATGGATAATTTGTTTCGCGTGTTCCATTGTCAACGCTTGACCCGGAAATTCAGCGCGACACGACTTCCCTTCGGACGTAGATATATCGATTCGTAGGAAGATGGCAATTACCTGTAGAGAAAATGAAACATCCGTCGGGCGAAGGAGCGGACGAGTTGGAAAATAGGCGAATGAGACAAACTACCGTGTAACACACTGGCCCTGCTACCGATTAATCGATACTCGATCCGGTTAGCAGGCTTTAATTCATCCGGGGCAATCGGATTTTCGGTATTTTCCTCGAGACGCGATTCGTCCTACCGATTACTCCTTTTAATTCATCCTCGTCGCGAATCAGGAAATTGAGAAACTGAAACAAGCCTACGCTGGATGCAAACCGCGTTAACATTCATCAATTCTTATCTATTTTTATTTCATATTAAACTGATTATATCGTTGAATCATTACAAGACAAATGTGTTTTTCAAATGTTCATAAACAACTCATTCGGTACAAATATCTGCAATCCACTAGCAATGAAACAAATTTATTTCCCCAATTCATACCGATAACAGTGGATAATCTTAAAATAGAATAACAGTCTTATTTCACTTCGGTTTGAATTCATTCCCTACCGAAATTTCTAAATCCTAAAATTTACATTTAAATCCGAGGTAATTCCGCGAAATTTTAACGACCGGTTTTCCTCGACGTTTCACGGCGAGTACATTTATTCGCCGTTGAAAGACAGCATCGCCGAGATGTAAGCGGTTCGTATCCGAGTGAAAGAAGAGGTTTCCGGGCACGGAAAGGCGGCCGAAGTTCCGCGGTGAATTTTAAGGGCGAATTCTAAGGGCAAAGCTGCAGCGAGAAACGCGTCGCGCAAAACAATGCTCTGCAAAAATCCCGCCGATTTATTATTCCACGCGAACGCGACCAGAATTCTAAACGGCTCATTTCCTAAGTGTGGACTGGCTGTGAATTTTATACGTTTACATATTATTGAATTTATTATATTGCGCATGTAAAAGAATGTGTTTGTACAAATGCATGTAGATGCGCAATAGAAATATGCATAAAATTGGACGGAGTGTAAATTCATTGAGGTATTAATTGTGGCTTTTAAAAGAAATTCTTATTTTAATATTATTTTCTAAATCACTGTGATCAAATGTTTTATTTAACAAAAACGCAGACCGAGTATACGGTTTGCTACCGACGACTGAAAGCTTCTCCCTGTTTTCGGTTCTCGCTAACGCGATTACGTGCATCGAAATTAACCGTGGGGAATGCTAATTCTTGTTAACCGGAAGTTTACGCTTCGAACCGAGCTCACTTTTGCCCCCTCCGCGAGAGAATCGCGTTACCTTTCCACTGAATTATTCGCGAGAGTTGCGTGACAATGGAGAGTGCGAAGAGTTTAATAAAAATGAGGAAACAGAGCTGGGAAAAAAGTTTCCACTGCAGTGCCAAAGCTGCGTTTGTTCGAAGCTTTTAAGAGTTCTCTCAGTGAAAATCGTAGCTCTCTTTCTTTATCTTGAACGACGGCTCGATTCTTTTCAAAGCCCAACGTTTAAAGAAAGCCCTCCGAATGAAAATGCGGGTCGTGGAAAAGTTGCGAGAATATCTTAAGACAATACAACCAGCAGCCGCTGCGCAAAGGCCTGTGAAAGGTTACTGGGCAAAGGTTTCAGTCTTTTAGCCGGGCGGCGTAATGAAATGGAAAATCGTGGACTGAAATCGAAATTCGTCGAGCGAGCTTCGAAGGTAAAAGGAGGACGGAGACGTTTTCAGAAACAATTTGATGGACAACGATCGCTTAGGGTAATGGCCCGCGTCCAATCGTCGCCTGACGACTTGTAGAGTTCCTCGCTGAGAACAAAAGTTAGTCGAACGATTCGTGAGAAAGGTGTGATAGTAAAAATAGATAAGAAATTTTCCATGAAATCTCAAGATTTAAAGAAATGAACAAGAGCTATGACAGGAAAACTTCCAAACAACTTGGAATTTCGATTGGTCAGCTTCACATTTTCTAACTTCGCTCGAACGAATTTCGTATTCGTATAAAAGTAAAAAGGTTTTACATTGGGAAACTGAATCGATGATTAATTATTCTCGCGCGTCGACGTTATCGTTCCATTTCGGATCGGACATGCAGATGCAGATGGTGCACGGTGACGTGTAAATTTAACAGGATATCTCGAGCCAGGATCAATATTTTGATAATGCTAAAGTAGATAACGAGCAAATCGTTGAATTATACGTATGGGTATCGCGTGTTTACACCGGCAGAAGCGCGCAATCAATTGTAACTATAGTTTCTAATTGTCTAGCCAATTAATTACCACTCGGGAACAAAGCCTAACGTTT